ACACAAGCCTGAATGTGAACATCTCATTCTGAAAAAACTTCATGCAGCTTAAAAGTTCAACAACATTATCCTTCATCTAGGGAGTTTTGTTTTTTTTTAAAGAAGAAAATCAAGTACTAAATCAAACAAAGGATAGGTAATGACTCATAACCACAAAAAATGTTTACACACGATGTATTCACAGTACAGTGCGGCAAAGATATATGTAACACGAACACAGAGAACATGAAATCATGAATAGCTCATACAATTTGCTATTCCCTGACTGGTAGCCTATAATCTCTCTTTAATTTTCCATTCAGTTAACCTGAATTTTGGACATGTCAAACCTGAATTTTGGACATGTCAAACACATTTTAATCCCTGATGTGTTTGAGTTAGAGCTATATCCGTGCCTGACTGTATGATGTATCAAAAGTTAACTTTACTAACAACTCATAATCACTCAGCACTCTTTCAAAAACTCAAATATTTTCAATATATTGCATTCTATCAAACACTCACTCAATATTTTCAACATTATTCAGTTCCAGTACCGGTACATCTGATACAAAAGGAGGCAAGAGTTCAACAGTGCATGAACCTTTCCAGCACCAGAGTCTTCGAAGCTCTCAAAACAATACATGTAATAAAAGCAAGTCTTAGCTTCACCGAAATTAAGATTGTCTGAGATTGTCATTTTTGGAAAATGCAAATTTCCATTTTTTTGAGCCCTTGATCGTTTTTCCATAAAATCCATACAATACACAGTAGAAATGGCTATAGCGGGACTTTTGGTTCTAAAAAAAAAATCTAGCTGTAGGCAAGTTCCCGCAAAAGGGATGCAAAGGGGAAATTACCAGAAAATTTCTAAAAATCCACATGATAACCCCCCTTCCATAACAATAAAATTTGCGCTTTAGACAAATTATTAGATTAGTTGCCCTTTTTTTGTCTACTTTGTTGATTATCTCGGCCTTTAATTTGAGTGAGAAGCAATTCCTTATGTCATGTCTTTGTTAGAAGCCATATTTTCCTCGGTCTTGTTGCTTGTGCTGTCTATCGTACCGGTAGGCCTACTGTAGAAATGGTGAAGTGGATGCATGCGTATGCCTTTAATGACTATAAGCATCAACTATCGCAATTCAATGAATCAGGAATCACACACACGCTCTCCTCTTCTTTTACTTTTTGGCCTGGCCTAGGCCTAGATTATGGCCTAGCCTATTTTATGTAATGTGTTTTTTAATGGACATGATATATATGTGAGGCAGCGTGGTGGAATCAGGCTCTCGTCAAAATAATCAAAGTGAAGAAACTGGCATTTTTCTGCAGGTTTGTGTATTCTTATAATTTTTTTGGTTTTTTGGCTCAACACCTTTCATGTCCATTTAAGAATTCATTTCTGTTTGGATTTTTCTGAAAAACATTGATTAAAGGCACAAAAAATGAAAATTTTCAGTTACCATGAACTCTTAAGATAAGGAAATAACTTATAAAACATCTTTTGCGGCCATTTTCTCATTAATTTTACCTCTGAAAACAGGTGACCCCCACCTCCTTCATTCGCAAATATCTCGACTTGTAGTCAAGTTAAAAGGATTTTTTTTAAATCTTTAAGCTTTAAAAACAAGCTTTAAGATGATACCAATAACTCTACATGCCCAAAAATTGACGAGAGCCTGATTCCACAACGCTGCCTCACATATATAGATATATATAGGCTATACAACTCAGATAGCTGGTTGATCAGAAAAATAAAGGAAAGTAAAGTAAAAGTAAGTAAATGAGCATAAAAGGTGTCGGGACTAAAAAAAGAAAATCAATAAAAAAACTGACCAACAGGCAGAAAAATGCCAGTTTTTAGATTTCCTTATTTTGAAGAGCGCCTGATTTCACCACATGGTCACACATATAATATAATCCGCTTATTAAATATCGACATGCTTTGGGAAGTGGATTTGATGTCCATATATAAAAATGTTGATAAATGAAAATATAAAGCCAAAGAGGAAAAAACAAGGGGGGTCAGCGGTAAAAGATTTATAACACTACTTTTTTAACCTGGCTGCTTCCCATGGTTCTTGAAACTAACAAGAGGCAGAGGGGAGGGGGGGTTGGAGTTACGGTACCAAATACCGAGCAACATGAGGCACACACTGCACACCAGTGCAAACTTTGTTGTAGTATTCTTGAAATAAATTGACTAAACAGTTAATAAAGTGCAAAACCGACAAAAAGTTTTGATCTGGGAATAAAATAACATATTCTGAGGAGTGCAGTTGGTGCACACAAGGGAATGTAGTCTCGCTCAGTGGTGCACTCTGATTTAGTGGGTTCATGTTTATTTTTTTTTTTTTTAACCTGAAGAAAAACTAAAACCTGTTCATCAATCATCATTATAATCCCCCAAAAAATAATAATAATAATCTAATAAGCGCTCATGAATCTGCTCAACAATCTTAAACCCCTTCGTTTCCAAGAGAGTGAGTTCCTACAGTCACTGTCAGCACTGACTCTTTAGTAAAGCTCACCAAGACAGTACATGATGATGTAGCCTCATCATGTCTCAGTGTAAGTGGATTTGTCATCAAGATGATAGACCTAGCCCACTTGTGACATTTCAAAACCCTGGGTCTTCGACTGTCCTTATTTCCCTCTATATTCACCCATCTGCTGACCCGATATTTAAAAAAAACTTGCAAATATATTTTATAAGTCAAAAGGTAAAATTTGTTGCCTTTTGAAAATTATTCTATGTTTTGTAACACTAACAGCAAGCCTCCATCCATAAGAAGACTTAAGAACATATATGAGCCATTGCCAAAACGTGGGGAAAAACACATACATTTCACATTAGTGTGCATAAAATGTGATGCATTAGTATTTATTCCTCCAAAACTTATACATATTTTAAATATAGGATGTAGAACCTGCATTAGCAGTTTCAGACCCCATGTCAGCTTTACAATCTTGAGTTTGTAAATTTTTTGCCAAAAATGTTTGGTTTTTTGTGATTCCTGGACTGTCATTTTGAGCACACCAATGCAAACTTCCAAGAATGTCCAAAATTTAGTATTTTTGGGTGTGTTTTTTTAACTTGTGCTTTGATTCTATGCTATTTGTGATCGAGAAAGGTTCATTTGCTCAAAAAATCGGTTTATTTGTTTGCAAATAAACGATTAATTCAGATCACTTGTGCGTCAGTGGTGTCGTCACAGACTAGGTGTTTCAGAAAACACCATTATTTTTCAGTAGAATCACCACAGCTGGTTAAATCTGGTTAAAACATTCGCCGTTAAGTTAATGGCGTCACTTTGCGATGTACCGGAAGTCTGAATTTTAGCCTACTTTTGTTTTGAACGGATCATCAACAGTGCCCGGATATAATTGTTTTCCTGAGTGACTTCCCCTTACCCGCTTCCCCAGAACAGCGGAAGCAACAGGGGAAAGGGAAAAACGAAAGTAGTCATTGCCGTCACCCTACGGTTACGCACAAGAATCTTGCATTGAATGTGACGTACTGGACTGTTTTGCGTGTTTTTAGGCTACCCTATTGAATATTTTTGTGAAATTGAAATTGCAGTGTTTACACTGGATTCCTGGAACAAGAGTGTGATGTGTGAACAAACTTCGAGAGATGGATCATTTCTGTGGTTATAGATTTAGCTTTTGTGCTTAGTGATGACGTTTGGGGTGTCGTCATGCAGTCAAGACTGACTGACGTACTAGAAATTACACTGTCCTAAGAGCAAACATTTTTTATGTCATGTGTGCTC